CCAACTACTTTGCACAGAGAGGTTCATGCCATGAATCAGAGAAACATAAGTAAGGAAGGGTCACATTGGGGTATATTAGGAAGGGGAATAACATTTTATAAACATAATGAGTCTAAGGGAGGGTAGACATTCAGAAGCATGCTGATGAAGTGATGATGTAAACATATCAATTGCAAGTTGAATCAGCATAACCATAAGTGAAAACATACTAGAAACAGGATGAAATGAAGCAGTAAAAGAAACACATTGTTTTGAAACTTGAATTGAAATCAGAACATACCAGTAAAGAAGATAGTAAACACAAAGTGAGGGGGAGAGAGTGGAGTAATCAGTCTTGGCTTGCAGCCGGCTGACTGAGAGCAATGCAAATAACCAGAGAAAAGAGAGCAGAAGAATGTTCTTTGTGTGAGAGAGAGTTTTTTTGAACTAATGTGTTCGTCCCTAATGAAAAAAGACGAGGGTATATATAATAGTTTGAAAGTCAGGTCCATAAGGCAAGAATCAATTGTTCAGCAATTATAGAACTACAGGATCAATTAAAGATCGAAAATCAGCTAAGTCTTCCTTAATTAAGGGAGTAATTTACCAACGGTAGAAAGTAGGTGACAAATAAGGAAAGAATTCAAATAACATAGGTACAGAGTAAACAATTAGGGCTAGGTTCATAAGGCTCTAATTAAGGAAATAATAAGAATCAATTAACAATATAGTCGGCCATGTAATAGGGCAAGAAGAAAACTAAAGGTCAAAAATCAGTAAAGAATATTACCATAGGGAATCAGTAAAGGGTATCAATCACAGAAAATTAGGGATTCAACTAGAAATAGTCCTGATTAGAGGAAATTACCACAAATTTCTGTCAATAAACAAAGTAAACATAATATAGGCGGGAGAAGCAAAATCAGAAATCCTAATGAGCACAAGGGGGTAGAAAATCACATAGACTCAGAACATATGCATGAGAAACAGACATACGCAGAAATCAGATGAGCAAATAAGCAAAGACAGCCTCAGAACCCAGGATTAAAACCAAAAAATTAGGGTTCTTAGCATGATAAATCAGATAGAAGAGAAAATCTTAAATAACCGTTTAAACATAGTAAGAATCATATAATAATACCAAAAAATCAGAGGGAAGTCGTTTTGAGAAGGGTTAAGAAACCCTAGTTTGAAGATGAAAAGGCGTTTTTGAAAAGTCGGAGAGATTCTTAAGAAAATAGTAAAGACAACTTCGAAAACTCTTAGATCTGATCTAAGAAGTCAAGAGCTAAAATTAAGGTTTCAGAGAGAGAGAGCCCAGATATAGAGAGATTCAGGTTTAGAAGCCATGGATCTAGCCGGAAAATAGAAAAATCTTATTCAGACAGGCCAAGGTGATCGGAGAACGACATAGAAACCATGATAGGTGAGTGATCCGTCTTCTGGTTCCCTTGGGGGCCTCAAGGCAGCAACAAACGGCATAGGAAGAGAGCCATGGAGGCTAGGGGTGGTGGTGGAACCTCCATTGTTACCAGCAAGCCAACGGCCGATGAGAGGATCTAGGTTTAGCAGAGAGGATTTTGAGAGAGATGAGAGATGTAACGGCGGAGAGGATGAGAGCAAATAAAAGGATGGGAATGATGGTTTGGGGGGGTAGTCTTTAGGTTAATTATGGTATGTGGGATCTGGACCATTGATTAGAATTGATCAACGGTCCAGATTGGACCAGGGACTGGGTCGGGTAGGATTTAGGTTTGGGCCTGGGTATTGGGCTGATTTAATTGGGGTTTTGGGGCTGGTTTAATTGGATTATAATCGAAATAAAATGGGGCTATTTGTTAATATCCAATTAAATTGAATAAAATAATTTATAAATTGGCTAATAATTATACAAAATGAATTTTATGCATAGAAAACAGTTAAAAATAATTACTTAGTATTTAAAAATACAAATAATTAATTTCCGATCAAAAATAGTATAAAATCATATGATTGGACTATAATTGCAAAGTTACTGCAATTATAGCCAAAAGATGCCAATTTGGCTAATTATGAAATAATTTTGTTTAAATAGGACCATAAATAATAAATTAAATCAAGAGATGATTTTGACATCATTTGTAATGCCATTTGTAATTATTTATGGGGAATAAAATGCTAGATAAATATAGGAAAATTATAGAAAAATACCAATTGTTATTGATGCATGATTTTGAAGGTATATATGTAATTTTAAAATATTTTGAGAAAAAATTGGGTATCAGTAGTGAGTTGAGTAGTAGATGTCTTTTAGGGTGACTCGATGAATTTGCCAAGTTGGTAACCTTGATGCTTGAATTTGATGTGTGTTTGTGCATATGGATTTTGGAGGCCGTTTGGGGAATGTAACCGTCTTCCATTCGGAGTCTGGAGCTTGCATTTCCTGTCTTGCATTTGCATTAGACAATGAATTATTGTTTAATTGTGGTGATGTAGCTGTTGGCGTTTGATTATTGTGGCAATTTCAATTAGTATAGCCAATTCGTCCACAAAGGATGCACATCATAAAGAGACCTTCATAAAGGATTTGTTGGCGATGGATCCCAATGAATACATGAGACTTTAGTGGTTTTTCAAGTGGTACTTCGATATAGATTCGAGCATAGCGCCCTCTAGTCGTATACGACGTTCATGTATCGATTTTAAGGAGTTTATCTAGTTTATTTCCTACTTTTTGTAGGATGTCAACATCGTAGAATTCAGTGTGCAGCTCTGGTAATTGAGACCAGATGGCAGTGTAAGTAAATTTCACGCTGGAGACTATAAACTTATGTTCCCATCTTCTTACTAAGAGGAAATGATTTAAAACAAACCACAGACCCTCATGTAATGCCTTATTCATATTTTCTTCCTTTTGATATTTGACGAAGAAGAACTCGTTCCCTCGATCAATGAGTGACACTGATTCTGTGGGTTTCCATAGCGTTTGTAGTTTTTGTTTGAGAGCTAAATGGCCCACTTTCCTTCCAAACACTTTAACTATAAGTGAGTAGTTCCAAGGGGAGTAAAGCCTTGATTTGTCTTCAGTGGAAATGGGGATGAAATTTTCTGGAGTTGGGTCCTCTACTATTTCAGCCGACATGTCAAGATAGTATTGGGTACTGGAGATGGTCGGTATACACGTATTGTGATTGTGTTGTAAAGTTTGCATAAAAGATAGATTTTGGTGGGTAGCAATTGGGTTATCAATGTTCATTGAACTTATGTCAGGTGGATCAGTATTGGGAGCAGGTGGAATGTTAGTCATTTTTGATAGGTTCAAGGTGGTAGAAGAAAGAGGAGGTAGTGTAGTTTTAGTAAGAAATTGGAGTTTCTCGCTCTAGTCACACTAAATCACTCCGTCTTGGAAATTTACAATCTTCGAAAAGGAATGATGAAAATTGTGAATTGTGGTTAGAAAATACTTACATAATCGTACAAATAAGTACTTTTACATTCTTTCTCGATCGAGTCCGTCGTACGGGGCTTGCCTAGTACGGTTTACCCTCCTATGTAGTTTATTGGCTATTACACAGAAATGAGGTGTGTGTGTGTGTGTGTGTGTGTGTGTGTGTGTGTGTGTGTGTGTGTGTATATATATATATATATATAGAGAGAGAGAGAGAGAGAGAGATAAATAGCCAATGTAATTGATAATTTAGCTATTTTTATACATATTACGGATTCAACCTTTTAGCATTATATAATAACAAAATTGATCATATTAACCTTAATTTGTTCATTGGCAATATAACAAATACTCCTAGGCTCTTTACTCCAAGTGCAACTTCTGGAAAAAAAATTTTAATTATTTCTAGATATCTAAAAAAAATCAAATATTATGGACCACAAAAAATACAAAAATTTCAATTAAAGTGGACCAGAGGAAGTAACAATTTTAGAGAAGTTATATGGTGAGTTCCAAAATGATTCCTCGTGTTAAATGTGTTCCAAATAAGAGAGTTTCTTAAATCTTAATGATGCAATTAGTTGTTCTCGTTACCTTGATCTGATCACCTATGAGCAGATATCAATAGATATTTATGGCATTAACAGGATAAATCGCATTATTTCTATAAGTACATTATTGATCCCTTTAACCTGCCGAGGAAAGAAGAACGAATATTTATAAAAGGTAAAGCATTCTGAAATGATAATTTGCACCTATTTATATATGTCTGTATACGTAGGCATTTATGTGAAACCTTCTACTTATTTATTGCTAATAAATTTCACTCCAAATAAGAAATCTCCATGTTAAATAAATAATTTTACTACGAAACCTTATGATTAGCAAGAACTTTCACCGACGTCTCTAAGATCATCTTTGTACTCTTTATGAATTACCGTATAATTTCTTTATTATTATTATTATTATTATTATTATTATTATTATTTTTGCATAATAATGTATTCTTTGTGTTTTAGTTTTAACTTATACTCTTTTCCCATTTTGCACGTAGTCCTTTTTATTTTCGAACGTAAGAAATTTTGGCTAATCACGAATATAGATCGTAAAATGTTGATCAAGTGAAAATATAAAAAGAAAAGGAACATACATTTTAAGAATGTAAATTAAAGAGTTCGTGTTTTGCAAAAATATTGAAGAGATTATGGATAAATCTTAAAACAAAAAATAAATTAATTAATTACTGCTAACGGTAAAGGGAACCAATATTAACGTGCAAAACACAAACAACTCCCATAGTGTTTTTTTTTTTCAATGAAGCAAACGAAAAAACCCAACTCCCGTAGTTTTATTTTTATTTTATACAACTCCCTTAGTTAGATGCACGTTATCGAGGAATCAATAAGTTGGACCCTTCCATTATTAATAAATCCAATATTTAACGGTAATATAATCCAAATTATAATTCTTAATTGTTGCCATATAAGCAAACACAATCATAATAATCATACTTTAATCACAATAAGCAGATATTATTATTTTCATAAAAAGTTGTTCAGATTTAAAAGGGTGTCACTGTCGGCTGTCCAAATGCCTTATTACATTAGTCAATCAACATTCTTCATTCCTCTCTCTCTCTCACGCGCACACACACAAAATGCAGAAATGGCCGAAGAAGAGAACACAGTATCCTCTAATTGCACTTGTCTTCTTCGTCTTTATAGTTTTCTCTATCCTCTATAATGAAAGTAACATTCAAGAAATTCATTCCAAACACACCCTCCCAAGAACTCCTCCAGGTCAGTTTGTAATTTCTTAGGTATCAGCAAAATCCTTTCTTTTTGACATTTTCCTTGTTTTTTTAGCAAATTTTCTAGGTCTTTTTTGTGGGGTTTTGTATATGGTGTCTTTTTGTGCATTTTCTTGAAATTGGAATTCAGAAATAAACATATTTTTAGAACCCCTTTTTTTTCCTTGAATAAGTTATTTCAATATTATGCTAAATAAGAAAAAAGAACTTTGATGTTTACACTCTCCATCCCATTTTATGTGTCCTTTGTTTGATTGACAGAGGCGGAGCCAGGATTTGAAGTTTTATCGGTTCAGAATCTAATCTGTTTAAGTTGCTAGTTTCTAAATTAATAAATTGTACATATTTGATGAATTTCTTAAGACAAATACATGGTTTTGTTTCTAGCTCCGCCCTTGTTGACTGAGCACAAGTTAAGATACACAGAAAGACTTTTGAAACATGTGATCTAAAACAAGCTATAGATAAAATGAGAATTTTATAGCTGAATTATTTCTAAATATAGAAATTTATCATTCTTTTTGGGACAAACTAAAAAGAAAAGTGTTCCGCATAATTGGGACGTAGGGAGTATTTCATTTTGAATCCATCTGAGGGGATATTTGTGGTGTTGTAGTGCCTTTGGATAAATCGAGTGCTTGCCAGTCTACTGTGAAGTATAGTGGAAAGAGAGCTGAATGGGATAGCTTCAAACCGGAGATTACTGGCCGGAGAGAAATGCCGGAGACGTGTGATTATTTTTCAGGGGAATGGGTGTTTGATAATAGTTCATATCCACTGTATAAGGATTCTGATTGTCCTTATATGTCTGATCAATTGGCGTGCCACAAGCATGGTCGGCAAGATCTGGATTACCAGTACTGGAGATGGCAACCTCACCACTGCAATTTGAAGAGGTAACATTTTGATTTCCATTAATTTCTTTTCTGCTTTTGTGTAATAGCTCATTTGTAACCAATACATAAATATAGTAACATTAAATAACCAACTGAACCATTAGATGAAAGAATGTTTGATAATTTCTATTTGTCCAAGCGTTGATAGATAGAGTCACCCGGTACCTGTTCGAAAATAGCAAGTACCGAGTGGAACACTTGAGGTGCACGCAAGTTAGCTCGGACACCACTATCAATTAAAAAAATAATCAAATTATAAAATATTAAATTTGTTAATCTCACCCTATACATGTTTGAATTTTTGTATTATGGTTGTAGTAATTGTTGTGTCATGCTTATTACATTATTGACTTGTTAATGTTGATACGCAGGTGGAATGTGACTGAAATGTGGGAGAAATTAAGAGGGAAAAGACTAATGTTTGTGGGAGACTCACTGAATAGAGGACAGTGGATATCGATGGTGTGTCTTTTGCAATCTGTTATTCCAGCTGAGAAGAAGTTCATGACACCACAGGCTCACCTTTCAATATTTAGAGCAGAGGTCAAGTGAATTTTTTTTGAGTATATGATATTTAGCATTCAACTAAGTGATCTCAAACTTTATATGATGTCAAGTGCCGCTCAAATTTCAATGTATTTTGGTACATACAGATGGTGACGATTATGTTAATATAATTTAACGACTGTTACTAAATTCATGTGTTTCGCTATTGATGACAGGATTACAACGCCAGCATAGAGTTCCTTTGGGCGCCACTTCTTGTCGAATCAAATTCTGATGATCCTGTTGATCACAGACTGCCTGAGCGAATACTGCGTCCTGATTCACTTCTTAGGCATTCATCAGAGTGGATGCACGCTGATATATTAGTCTTTAATTCATATCTTTGGTGGAGACAGGGCCCTGTTAAGTTATTGTAAGTATGAACTCTAATTCGGTCATCACTTCAGCAGATATGCCAAGAACTAATATTTGAATGAAAATTTGAAACATAGAAGATGGAAAAGAGGACTGATTGCTTTATCTCTGCCGTTTTATCTCGGTTGGATTGACGTATTTCATACTTCTTGAAATTGCAAACTTTCAGCTCAAGGAACGATTAAAACTATTTATATCTCTAATTTATAATAAATTGTAATTTTGCAATGAAAGAAGGATTGCTTTCTTATCAGTTCCATTACTTTTTTTAGATGGAGTAGTGAAGAAAAAGGAGTTTGTGAGGAAATAGATGGGTTGGGAGGCATGGAGTTAGCTATGGAAGCCTGGGCAAAGTGGGTGGATTCCAATGTTGATCGCGTGAAGAAGGTCTTTTTTGTCACTATGTCCCCTACACATTTCACGTAAGTGAGGAGCTTTTCTTTTATTGCTAAAGCTTACCTTACGTACTTAACTACATGTTGCATGGATTTGACTGGATTTCAAAGTTCAGAATCAATTTTGATTGTTATGGATGAACAAATTAGGAGATCGGAAGCAGCAGCATGTTTTGTGTGTTGATTTTTGCACCTAATATTAAGTAGCTGAATTTAACATTTTTAGTTAGATTGTCAATGCCGGGTCAAAAACATTGGTGGTGAACTGAACTGATAAAAAATTTGCACCCAACATAATACTCTCATTCATTTTCCATTGTGCATTTGTTCACATGAGTTCATAAATGTCTCACCATTATTTAAAGTTGATGCCGAGTTCCTTCTTCATTTGAAATATAAATTCGTAAAATATGCTATGAGTCCATTCTTCAGGCAAAAGGCTCCTGAAGAACCATAATAACTTATCTTGTGCATGAATGCTTTTCTGATTACACAATCTGAAACAGTGAGGAGCGAGGCCAAGTGACGAACTCTAATTACCCATTTAAAATAACGGCAATTTCAGTTAATTGTATAGTTTTAAGACAAGTCAGTTTCCGGAGATCCGACATGAAAGATGCTCATCTTGGTTTAGATTTATCTCCTCTGCAGTAAGAAATCGTGTTTTTATTTCTTCTTTCAACATTCAGGAAACAAGAATGGGAACCAGGAAGCGAAGGAAACTGCTACGATGAGAAGCTTCCAATAAAGAATGGAACATACTGGGGTATAGATTCTGACTTTCCCACAATGCAGATGGTTGAAAGGATCCTGGCCAAGTTGGGCTCAAAGGTTAATGTTCTCAACATTACTCAGCTATCAGAATACAGGAAAGACGGCCACCCTTCCATATATCGTAAGTTTTGGGAGACGCTGACTCCTGAGAAACTAGCAGATCCTGCAAGTTACTCGGATTGCATCCATTGGTGCTTGCCAGGCGTTCCTGATGTATGGAACGAGTTGCTATTTCAATTTTTGTGAAAAGAACAGGTGCACTTTGTAAGTAATCTTTCCACTATCATTGGAGAAAAGAAAAGTTCACACCTTGAACGTAATGTACATCTCGAATGAGCACGCCCATGTTTCTACTGTTAGTATTAAAGCAAATTCTTGAACCTCAAGGTAAACCAATTACAGAGTGAAGGGATGATGCTTCTTTCTTTTGAGTTCACTTTGATAGCAAGTACCCGTTGAAATAGTTAATATATGTTCAAACTAGCGGATGTCAGCCTTACAGAAAAAAATCGTTCTTCTGTTTTGCTCGAAATTTTGTTTAAATGAGTGTATACAATGAATCACAGTTGGGGAATTCAAATTAGAGTGTATGAACTTCGTGAAGGGTATCAAAAGCTCCCTAGCAGCAATTCAATTCAGTAAATTGAGGTTTGAGAGCTTAGCCAAAAGCCACAAGCCAAATGAGGGAATTCTAGACCTGCAGTAAGAGCATTCTTAAGCTCCCGTTTGGCCATAGGTTTTGGCCTCAAAACATTTTTTGTTTATGAAATATGATCATATTTTGGGGAAAAAATTCAAAAAATTTCAAGATCCCAGTGAAAATTTTTCTTCCACTCACAAAACTTCATCTTTTCTTCAAATAAAATGTATGTTCAAACGTAATTTCAACTTTCAAAAGTTATTTTTCAACCCAACTTCAAAAACTCTTTTTTCAAGTTTTAAAATCTATGTCAAACGCTAGCTTAGTATTGTCTAATCTTCTAATATGTTTAGTACGCTTAATTAAGATTGTAAACGTGATTAAGCTACTCTTTCCAATACTTTAGCATTGAACTTGGGAATATTTAGCTAGCGTTTGGCCATAGATTCCAAATTTGTTTTGAAAAATCTGATTTGGATGAAGTTTGATTTGAAGATGAAAATGTATTTGGCCATATGTTTTCAAAACATATTTTCCAAATTTATTTTGGAAAAATATGTATATTATTAGTGTTTGTAAAAATTTTGTCCCAAAACTAGCTTTTGAGTTGGTTTTGGGATTTGAGATTTGGGATTTTGCCAAAATATAGGCAAAATCTATGGCCAAATATGTGTTTGCCAAATAAAACCCAAGTTTATTTTGGCAAAATCTATGCGCAAACGGGTCCTTAGATTGGCCCCTGAAGTTTGGAGTGAGTTGTGCAATTATCCACTGAAGTACTTGTATTACCAACAAACACCACCATAAACGGGCAGTTGAAGTCTTGAAGAGGTATTAAGAGATTTTCTAGAGATACATGTAGACATCGAAATTTTAAAGGATCAATCCAAATCCTAAATTAAAGATACTACAGGACTCTTGAAATCCTAGGAGTCGATTAGGGTTTCTTGGAGGTTACTCTACCCTAAAACCCTAACTCATACCTATATAAAGGGATACATATTCCCTTGAAGAGGCGTCTCAAAATCCCATAAACTCTTGGGATATTCACAAAGAGATCAAAATATGCCCGGATGCTTCTTAACAATCAAATAGTTCAAGAAGCTAGAGATCAAATACATCCCAGGAGGTCTGCATCATCCTACATTCGAGAAATACATAGCTTCAGCCCTCGAATCACGGAGATAATCAAGAGAGAAGAATCAAGGGAGAAACAGAATTGTACACACAATTGATTAGTAAAAATACTTTTCTCTTATTTTGTGATTGGGGTTTATTTTTCATATGTTGAAAATTAGTTATAAATAAATTGGCACACCCGGTGGGACCAGTTCTGCCCTTCATCTCTTCCTCTTGTAAATCAAAAATTCAAAGTTTCAAAACCATTTGGTGCGATGGTCGAGTACTTCAAGTCTCGTCTTAAAGTTTCGACAAACCTTGAAGTAGAGGGCATTTGTAGACATCGAAGTTTTAAAGGATAAATCTAAATTCTAAATTAAAGATACTACAGGACTCTTGAAATCCTAGGAGTCTATTAGGATTTTTTGGAGGTTACACTACCCTAAACCCTAACTCACACCTATATAAAGGGATGTATATTCCCTTGAAGAGACGTCTCAAAATCCTATAAACTCTTGGGATATTCACAAAGAAATCAAAATATGGTCGGATGCTTCTTAACAATCAAATAGCTCAAGAAGCTGTAGATCAAATATATCCCTAGAAGGTCTGCATCATCCTACATTCGAGAAATATATGGCTTCAGC